AAAATTCAGCCATGCGCCAGGAAACCAACAATTAAATAAGGTCGACCATTTGTCCCATGAAACCTTATTAAATATTTTATGCTTGAATTATTTCATTCTTTAAACTGTCCTTTATCAAAATATAAATGTGGGCGTTTGTGTATTTAAGTCCATATGTCTTATATATGGTTACAGAAATTAAGGGAACACAAAGTTAAAATGTTTTAACGTACAAGCGATGCTGGTTACATCACACTCAAAGCCATGTAAACGTGACGGAGGAGCGCCGCGTTCCTCACAGTAATTGAGGCGGGTCAGAACTTCTTCATCATCGAAACACTAAAGAAGCGAAACGCGCGAACGTCGCCTCACAGACTGCTCTGCATACGAGACGTTTAAAATTCAGAAATCTCAAGGAGAGGCGTGATCAGCATAACGTAAGCGGTTTTATTTATGCTCTCCACATTTTATTAGTCCCGGTTTGAAAACGTGCCTGTGGAAAAGTTTGGGTTTTGCAGCTTGTGAACCTCAAAGTAAGAAAACATCTAAAGCCCCTCTGTCCTCTGTGCAGGATGTTTTCCCTATACGTCAGTTCTTCAGCGAGAAGAACAGGACAATACAAACCTTTGTTGCAGACAAAAAGAAATGATTTTTCTCCAGGAGTATACGCGTCTGAAAAGCAAATGCGGAAACATTAAAATACCTGAGTCTCTCAGGTATTTTACACAGCTGGACGAAACATGCGTGACTTCAAATTGCAGTGCAGACTGAAAACATTCATGTCTTTGATTAGATGCAAAATTCATCTATTATTTGAAATTTTTTTTAATGCGTTCTGATCATACCAGTCAGAATTACAGTCAAGCAGCCACGTGCAAAACTTTGACTCTGAATTAATTGCGAGTGCAAAGACACATATTCTGCTGCAGCAGAGGGTATCGACGTGAAATGAAGAAAAAGCTTTTTATTTTTTTGTGAAACTACTGGAATAAATTTGAGAGAAGTACGATGCCAGGTCAGTCATTCTCTCTCTCTTTCTCTCTCTCTCTCTCCCCTCCAGCTTCTGGTCTTTCTCCATTTAACTGTTCATCGCGGTGGGAAAGGATGGAAACTAATAAAGCTTCTTGGAATCTTTCGGGTGCTTTCTGTACATAGGAACAACATCCAATCTGCACACACCGGGTTTGGCCTTCCTGCCCAAGGGTTTCTGCCAGCAGGTTTTAATTAGAACAATATTTCACGCAGATCTCTGCAGAGGAGGAACCTTTTAATTACTTTATCCTTCACACCCAGTTATTCTCATCAGGAGGATCTCTGCGCACACGGCGAGCGTTTCAACGCAATCAATAGCCATGAGCTGCAATCAACAAGAGAGCAAATTACATACATGCGACCTCAGCGAATCTCACAGATGTGATTATTATTTTTTTTTTGTTCGATTTGAAGCCAATGCTATTTATTTTTGTCAAGGAAAACCACACAGTCCCTTCACGTTGTGCTTTGTAAATGTTCTGAACTTTAAAATTAAAATTGGATAATGTGTTTTGAGAAGTGCTTTGCAACCTATTGACCTTTGCAACCAAAAATCCTGAAAGGATTGAACTCGCTTTGTGGCAGAACTTAGTCATACTCACAGACATTCAGTCTAACTGAGCTGAAGCTATTTTACCAAGAAGAATGAAAACCCAGCCTCTGAAACTCAAGGAAATGGAGACAAAAGCCAAAATAATGACCCAGGGTTTTTGATTATAAATGCGTGCCATACTTTTCAGGTTTTTAATCATACAAAAATGTGGAATTTAACTACTATTTTTGTTTGTTTGTTTTTTTACTTTATATTGATCTCTCAGATAAATTCTAAATAAAACATATTAAAGTGTTACAGTCATGTGACAGAAAGCTAAGAAGTTTTGAAAAGTTAAGAATAATTTTATGCAGGGTATCATACGGAGCAAACAGCTAAAGTTGATAACTTAAAAAAAAAAAAAAACAGCTTTTACGGCACGTATTCCACATCGGAACAAAGAGTTACATTTTTTTTTGGGGGGGGGGATTAAAACAAATATTGGACACATGGGACACGTGAAGCGAATTGAATCTGCTCTTCTGCACGATTCTCCTTCCTTTCGTCAGAGATGAGCGCAGCTCATGGACTACAGGTAAAATGAAGAAAACCTGCTAGAAATATGAGGAAGAAGGTCATCCAGTGAAGCACATGATCCCCTTAAAGCGATTCTATCTGTCTAGCTGTTTCTAGCTTTAACCTTTGGTGTCAAACAAGTAGAAAACATGAGTCGGTCAGGTCTCCTTATTGGATGGATAAGCAGTGAGTTGCTCTACACCTTAAGTCAGATCTGGGAGTTTCAGGGATCCCTCTGATTGCCTGATAAAGAGTTATCCCCCAGCTCTTAAATCTTCCATCTTTCAATATTTCTAATCTCAATATTTATTTTTCATTGAGTAAATCTTCTTCTGTGTTCTCTGATTGACCTTTTCTGCTGTTTTAACTGGTGTTTTAATTCAGAATCCCTCTTGTTGATTCTAGTAAAGTTCATCCATCTTGATCTCTTAAGGCGCTCCTGGATATTTTCTGGAACTCCTTAAACCTGATATTGCTGTCGCCAGCTGAAGCAAACCAAAGAAAGGTCTACTGTGATGACAAAACATGCAAGACACATGCAACGGAGATTTCTCCCAATGAGTTTCACCACGAACTACTTTCAAAAGACGTTTACTTCTGGCTCGGCGTCTCGGGGAGCAGCTGTCCGGACTCTCCTGCGTCTGTTTGTGATTGCGCGACGGTTGCTTTCGTGTCTGACTGTCACGGCCTCACAGCGTGGACAGATGGCAGAGACTTACCCCAGCAAGAAAACAGCACAGACTGACGCCAGCCAAATACACACACACAGCATCCAACAAGATGCAAAGCAGAAGAATTTTCCTTTTGGGCCTGCTGACCTGTGTCCCAATCCGGCTGTGATTCATCCGACACGACGGCAGACTGTGTTTGTGCGTGGCGACATGTTTTGAGCCAACATGTCGGACTTTCTAGTGTTTTCTTGTCACATACCTCTCCATCCCACTGGCCACATCGGCTTTTAGTTTAAAAGAATATATTTAGAACCACTTTACCCCTTCAGTAGTCAGTGTGTTTATCTCAAGCTGTGTCCTGTGCTCCGTTTTAAGTCTTTACCTCTCCTTAAGACATTAAAGCGTTTACATGTAACTTAAAAAAAATTTTTTTTTTTATGTTTTTCACGTACTGGAAGTGTTGTCACTTTAACAGCCTGACATGGTGACAGGCAGACAAACCAACACACACCACTGCGATCCAAAGTCACGCCGAGATCATCTCAGCGGACACAGTGTGAGTGGGCAGCTCCACACAGATGCATGCATGAGAGCGGATGCGTAGGTGTGCAGCTTTCTCTCGACTCTGCCAGGCCAAATAGATGTTGAACTTTTAGCTTGGCTTTATGCACGAGCTTGTTACACGAAGCGAACGCAGCTACAGCTCTGCAAGATATAATCAGAAAGTTTATGCATTTAACTCAATAGATTTATGACATGTACATAGATACATTTCCTGTTAGTTTTAAAGATAATTACAGCTAATAAAAAGCTGACATTTTTATTGCCTGCAGGTTATATTTTGGCCTTAAGCTGGTCTGAATAGCAGGGCCTGGTGTCGCGTGTTTTTCTCTCAACAATACTCCTCAGGTTCTCTGTCCTTCTCCAATATGTCTGCTCAGGGCCGGCCCAAACCTTTCTGGGGCCCCAAGTAGCTTCTTATCCCCCTTTCCACCACCGTCTCTCCCCCTCAACATGCCAACACTATTTACTGTGTCATTCCTAAATTATTTGTAGCATACCTACTATCATTAGCATCGTTAGTAATTAGCTTAACAATGAAAAATCAATAGCTGTGGTGTTATTATGGCTATTGACTTTAAACTTACTAACAAGCTAACTAACCAGCTAACATTTTTTGTTAGCTAACAAAAACAAAATTGGATTTTGAAATGTAGAGTTGTATTTAAGTGCAACACATTATTTTAACTATTTGAACATCAGCTGATAAACCTAAAACAATAAGTTTGATATCTTATATTTCCTCAAAAGTGACAACAGCCATCAACAGGAAGATATTAACCATTATTTAATAACTATAATAATATATAAATTGTTTTTTCCATGTGTAGTATCCACTGTTATTGCATACATCTTGGTGCTACCAGCCTAATCAATTTGCAGTGTCTGAATTAAATTATTCCAATATTTAAATGTATTCAAATGCAATCAAGGTGCACCACACACTAAAGCTAAACAGCAGAAAGGACAAAACAAAGAAATCATAAACATTAGTGCTGTATGCAATAATGTTTGTTTTGCAGGGACTTGACACAACTCACATGCTTTGATGTTCACAAGCTTGTTGAGAAATAATTTGTTAGCCAGCAGATGAGCTCTTCCTCCCCCCCAACACAAAGGTGAATGTTTGTTACAAAATAAATTGCGAATACTTCTGCACAATTTTCCATCGCTCAGTTTTTAAATCAGTGATTGACAAGTCAAAGACTCAGAAATCTGTTTGTTCCTCCATTATGTTCATTAAATTCATGAAAACTGAAAACTTTTATTTGAGCAGCTTAACAGGTAGATCGTAAGTGCTACTGAGACACGCTTTGGTTATAAATAGGAATCAGCTTTTATGCTGTGTTTGTTGTATATAAATAGTTGTTAAAGTTTACACAAAGAATGAATTATAATCTTCGCAAGGGAAATCTGATAGAAGTGTCCAACTCTAAAATCCTAAAGAGAACTGGAATCAGTTTAAGCCAGAGAAAACCTGATCATTGAAAACAGCTGCAAATATCCATCTTATACAAAACATAAAGCCAAAATGTAAAGTGTGTGCCATCCCTTTGTCATTTCAGAATAAAACTGTCTCCTCATTGCAAAGTAATGTCTGGGAACGTACTTGTTGAATGAAATTACCCATCAAATACAAAATCGAACTAGAAGAAAAAAACCAAAATTTCAGTTTAATCAAACTAGAAGAAGCTTGTGTCAAAATACATCTCAATCACTTGGTACAAAAAGACACAGTTGGGCGACGAGACACATGAACTTGTTTTTCCATCAACTTTACAATCATCCAGTAGTTCTACATCTTCAGATTTCCCTGTGTAGGGAGGAAAGTATATCTTTCACTCATCTCCAGTGAAACAATATTCATATTCTGCTGTTAAAGTCGGTCAGACAAACTTTTAGCAGGAAACTGCCCATCAACTCAATCCAGCCGTGACAAAACAAACACCTACAGCTCACGACAATTTACTCTAAGCATCATCGGGTTTGTCTGCCGGCGGCCCACACGGCTGCAGCATCTTCTCCATCAAGTTGAAGCGGACCCGCGCTTTGCTCTCGTTCTCGGCAACGGAGAAGTAGTTGAGCAGGTCGAAGTGCCCCATGTAGGAGCAGTAAGAGTCACGGTGCTGGTTGACCAGCCATTCCCACTTGCTGGTGTCAGCATGTCCTGTACCGATGTACTTGGACTGGAGATGCTCCAGCTGACTGTGGATGTTGTAGCGGTCCGTCATTCTGGCTCAGGTCAGGCCAACGGAGCCTAAATGGGGAGAAAAAAAAAAAGTTACAGAGCTGCTCAGTAAGAAGAAAATGAAGTAATCAAAAATAAATGATAACACTATTATCAATGTTACCAATTGTTTTTAATCATAACTGAACTTGATTTTTCTTAATCCCGTTTCAAAAGTTAGTTCATCTGTTAATTTACATCAACCCATTAAGCTCTGAAATGTAGGTGATATGAGAGCAAATTTTCTCCTGTAGTTTCAGTGATGTGTAGATTTATGAATGTACATATACAATAACCATTTTTGATTAAAAATGTGTGTGTAAACTCAGGATGTGCCACTGCTGCTTCTGGCTCCCTTTTCACCTTTTACTTTGTCATTTCTATTTTATTTTTTTTCTGTATTCATTTTGTTGGAATTTTAACTTTTCAGAGAATATATAAGCTGTCTAGAAGATTTTATTGGTATGGAAACCTCGAGGTTTGAATTGCAGGTGATGAAAGTGAAAAAAAAAGATGCTTTAAGTGGTTTCTGTCATTTATAACAAACAACGTTATTTAATTTGGCATCACAAAGCTGCATTGCACTCATCAGTACAGCCATACTTAGCATTTAAATGGAGAAAAAAGCATTTAATTACATTTTTCCTTCAAAGTAATTTGACTTGAATTAAAAATAACTGAGCTCCTACACCTGATGAATAGAAAATGCTATAATTTTAACAACCCAATTTAAAGACTACTTCTGAATAGCAGGTCCAAGTTAGTGGAAAACCCAAACAAACATCCAAAACCACTGAAATTAAACATCTGCAACTTTTACCTCGCAGTGTTAGCAGCTCTTCTACTGTTTAAATTAGTATTCGAGACTAAGCAGTGTGTGATTTAGCAAAGTATCTGCAGGTTCTACAGAATTACTACTGAAAGTGCTATTGATTACAGAAAATCTGTGTCAATCTAATGGATCTGTGGGATTTTAGGACAGGCATGCAGTTGCAAAGAAATACCTATAAATATAATAATCTTGAATGCAAAATGGTTTGTGACCTATAAATTTTGACATGTATGCATAATGGAGTAAAGTTTTTCTTAAAGAGATTTTAATAATTAAAGATGGTGTTTAAGGTGGTGAAGTAATCTAAAAAAACCAACAACTTATGATTATTTGTTCTGCACAACAAAGACGTCTCGGTTACTTCTTCCTTGTACCATAGCATATTTACAGAGATGTAAATTGTTACTCCCAAACAGGACGCTAGTGATGACGTGTCTTAAATTAGTTTTTAACTAGTTTCTACGTGTATAAATGCATTCTTTTATCTCGCTTCTATAAACGTACCGTTTACAAGCTAAATTGTTGTCGCGCCTTTAGCCTTGCATGCTAACGTGAGCAAAAGCTAGTCGTTGTTAGCCGACAGAATCTTTAATTTACGCTACACTCGTTTACAAATACCAGTTTTAGAGTCGAATAAGTCTATAAATGCGAAACATACTTACACAAAATATCTCAGAAAGGAGGTGAAACTTGCCGACTAAATCCTCAATCAAACACGCCTGAACAACCTTTTCCGGTTGGTCCCCTGCTATTGGGAACGGTTGAAACAAAGCGTTCAATCTTCGGTTCCGTTTCAAATATTTTGCGCCTGTTCATTTTCAGATTCAAATAAGTGCGTGTTTGCACGACAAGTTGAACAAACTATGATTAAAATCCGTTTGATTATTAAAATAAGGAACTATTCACATAAGACTAAAGCATGATAGGGCAATAGTAAAATCATACAAATTGTTCTGTTTAGCTTCCAGGACATATAGGGATGTTTTTTTTTTTGTTTTTTTTAAAATATGTTATTTTTACTTCAGGTAGTTTCAAATAATACAGCACTTTTTAAACAGAAAGTCACATCTGCTGGTCTATTCTTGACTGGTAGAGAAAAAAGCACATTTATTAATTTCATCCTTAATTATAAAACAAAAATTGTACAATTTTGTTATTTTCTATTAATACTGGTTGTTAATAGGAAATAACCAGAAAGTTAGCAGTGCACTTAGGAGGACCCTTAAGCTACAGTTTCATTGAGATTATTTCAGCAAACGTTTTAGTATTAAAAATGTCATATGTGACGATATTTTACTTGTAGCTCCTCCAGGGTTGCCGTGGCCTCCAGGAGATTTTCCAAGCTTCTGTGATGCTTTAAACATCTCCACATCTTAACTCTAACCTGTCTGATCTTTTCCTTCATGATGCTGTTTGTTAATTATTGCACGTAAAAGCTGCAGAATAAAATAAACACAGAAGGGCCCTGCTTATTTGGTGGCTTCTGCGGGAAATTTTACACACTGAATTCTGCCTAGATGTAAATGAGTAAAGGGGTCAAGTTGGATACACATGCATGCCCCACGTTTAGAATTGTTTCCTTGTAAATGTGTTCTAAAACTGCATTTATTGTGCTGGTCTGAGGGTTATAGTATAGTTGCAAAACAAAAAGTTCAAGGAACACTTACATTTTTCTCTTAAAGCCTATCCCAACGCACCAGTACTCCTTAACTCCCCAAACATTGGCGATGGAGATCTCACTGACCCGGTTTTTTGAGTGAACGAAGATTGAGAAAACATGATTAGTCAACAAAGATGATTTTAAACCAAATGAGAAAAAAAAAAAAAAAAAAAAAAAAAAAAAACAACCCCACAAAATAAAAAAA